GGTCGTGGGCTGTCGATGGATTTTCAGCAACCTTATGAGTAGTACATTACAAGGACCGTGTTCTTACGAACTGTCGAAAGGTTTGCTACATAAAGTTCCAACTAGTGAATATATCGAGTTAATTCTCGTCTCCACAGAGGCACTAGGACCGTTAGGTAAGACCTGACCGTTATCAATCAATTGATCTCTGGACAAACAGGAGTTTCTACCACCAGACAAGTGTTTCGGTGAACACATACAAGGTCTGATCATGCTCATGTATCAAATAAAAACTTTATCACTTCTGACATGGGAGTTACTAGAAGAAAAACAGCTAAATCTGGCCAGGAAGTAGGTCACGAGACAACCGCACTGTTTTGTTTCCACGGTGCGATGGCGAAGTCACAGTATAAGCAACCAAGGCTAACTGGAACAGACACTAAAGACGAATGGCCCGAGATTCACTAAGGCGCGATGGAAGACCTCATTGACCAAGTGAGTGTCTCGTAAGAGGGGAAAACGTTGTGCCGAAATCCTCAACAGCTGTCGAATCCGATCCGGTGAAGCCCCAACCAACCACATGCTGTACTGGTTTTATTCGCCGTGATCGTATGCATATGTAGACAACTTTATTCGAAATTCCTAATAGTTACGACTTGAAGGACGCCTACATGTAAACTAACTGTGTGAAGTAAAATCCATCTTTTACTTTCCCAGCCTATGTCACGGAATCCAGTTTTCCATTCACAGCGCTGGACGTTTACACTACTTAATGACAAACCAGTAGTGTATGTACCAGCGTCGTGAAGTAGGTCGGAGACTTTGTTCTTTGGAACAAATGGGGACAAATCAACTGACAGTTTCTTGATTTTTCTCTTTGCCCTGTCACCCCAAATGTTGTCTATCTCAGCGGCAATTCCGGACAATCAAATTTAAGTGCAACTGCTGATGTGCTCCATCAGATGGTGGGTGAAACATCAAGTTTAGCTGGACTCAGTCTTTGTACCACACAAAAAGCAGGGCGTCCGGTGATTTGACCCCTTAGTCGCACAGCAGTTAAAGGCGATGATAAAAGCTTTATCATGATGCAAAGGACTTCTCAGATAAAGGGACGTAAAGGAACGATTGCATCAGGTGTTTCAGAACGATCTGTTTGAGAAAAAACGATGATATGCATCGCATCCATCAGAGTTCCCAGATGTAACCAAGACTGCCTGTTTGCTAGCATGGCCGGCAATCTATAAGACTTAAAGTTTCTTAAGGAAACATTAAGTTGGAGGCTGTTGGAATCCCTTTGGAGGTTCACGACCCTTCTGGACCTTCCTGGGGCCAATTGGGTAGGCCCAGTCCCCGAGTTTATGTCAGTCTTATATTCTGTTTTAACCCATATTGCACGAAACTGGCTAAATATGCTTATTTGCACAATAATTTCATTTTAACAAAAGACTGTATTAAATTAATCGTTTATGAAAAGGCCATCGCTTTTGGTTGCTTGAGGACTTCGTAAACGAGTGATTCAGCTGGGATTCACTCGAGTGTTCCGTTAAAACTGAGTGCATTCTGCGGACGCCCCATAGTGCACTAGTTTTACAAGGCGGGGACAGAACCTAGAAAATGATAAGGTAGACTGCATGGTCTTCCCTCAAATCCGTGTACGAGAAATGTTCTGTGCACCACTCTACACACCATGATCCACAACCAAACTCCCGAGTAACATCATCCACCTACCGGAGAAGTTCAAGCTGAAATGAATGGTGCTCGACTTCCAGGAATTAACTAGAATGTACGTGTGTGCCTTCCGATAGGAACGATGTTCGCTAACTACGGCATATTTGACAGCTGGCTACCATCATTCGCCAATCGATTCAGTGGACCATGACATACAAATGGGTCAGCATACATCGTGTGGAGAGTTTGTTGAGAGCTGGAGTTCTCTGGGCACAAAGAGGATTCCATCTTGAGAGTTTGGAGATCCAGTTCCCCAAGTTTCATCCGAAGACTCGATAATTCTTTACGTTCTGTCCTTGAGACCGAATCCGAGTACCTGTGTCGACCTGCCTTGTGTTCGACTCACTTAACGCACTTTGAACACGAGGCCGCTAATTGGTAGAAAACGCTAATTTTAAAAAGCTCATTTCCTTCGGTTGCGTAGGTAGGCATAAAAGTTGAAATTCCTCGCCATCTCCCAATGGGAAGAGGCTATTATGAGATAGTGGTAACACGCTCACCTCGCGTGTTAGATGCCCGGAGTTCAAACCTTGGCGCGACCATTGGATGTGCACTGCTGATGAGCTCTAATATGAGCGAAACTCGAGTCTAGTGCCTCCCCCACCTCCTCCATTCAGTGTGGACTTACCAGAATTACACCAGAACAGGTGGGCGACCTTCCAAAAGAAAGTGGTGTGAATATGAACAATATCATAGAAAAGTTTTCACTTGATAAACAGGCAATTAGTCATGTCTATGTAAAAGTTATTCCTTCGCAACTACGCTTCATGCCATGAAAATTCCTTTTTCGCTCCGCTTCATGCCATAAAAATCCCTTTTTCGGGGGGTGCGGTTCTGATAGTCAGTGACCGATAACCCGGGAGAGGATCAGACCGCCATACAATCGTTCTCTGGGTCAGAATGAACCAGAAATAAACCCGTACAAAACGCTTCAGTTCATTCTTGAATTATGGCTTAAATACAGAAGTCCACTCCAAAACCGTTGGACTTGGTTTTATCCCTTTTGCAAGGAAACGCGAATCGGGGAGTGCAAGACCCGTTAAAGTTCATATTGTGCTTTTTTCAGGAAACATTTTTCATGACCTGCGAGATACACCAGATAAGTACTTAGGTGTTGCATCGGAAGGTCCGTAGTTCGAACCCGACCTCAGCCTCCCGACTTCGTCTGACTAGGCTTGGGCAACCTGGCGGTATCCCAGCCCTCGTGCTTCCTTCTGGTGGCATGGCAGCTAGGCACCGAAAGGGTGATACAGCTGAATGTTTTTATCGGGCATACTGTTTTCGATGGTATTCTTTCTGTTGTATGATTCGAAGCACGGTACTCTGCAAATTCACGTCCATGATATTTCATTTTAACCCCTGGAAAACGCATTTTCCATTTTTCATGTTATCCACCCCGCTTTCTCAGTGACTCAGCCTGCATCCCAGACGTCTTGATCACCAAATTCTTTAGCAAAACATCAAATTGATCTCAGACCCACAGCTGGAAATACTTTCAGCTGCCTAATTTTTCAACCACAGTCTGTGAACAACACTGAGTAGAAACGCTAGCCCGAAGAGTCAGTAATATGTCTGAGATAACAATGGGGTTTTGTACCAAAACCTATCTCAGGAGAAAAATTCGCCTTGCTACGCAAACTCGCAGGAGAAAAATTCGCCTTGCTACACAAAACCCTCCAAACCAGGTTATTTACGCAGTACACTGGAAGATGCCTTCTTGTTCTTTCGGATAAGTGCATCCACGTGACCCTTTGGACTGCAAAATCAATACAACTTTGTGGAGGAGATCCTTCCCAATCAACAGCACCCTTTGAAATAGTCTGTCTCCAATAGTCCTCAACGGTTCACCTTCAGCTTCACTGACAACTACACAGAACCGACTAACTTCTTTCGTAAAAGAAAGCCAAATACTTACAAACCTCATGTTAGACACAAGACCCCACTATGGTATCATAGGCTGCAATGGAACGGCTAATGTCTGTGACATTGTCAGTCCCCTGTAAAGGGGATGCATTACCAAGGGCCCACGTCCTCGACAAACTCTAGCAGCCCGTATGTTATACAACCGAATGATAACTGTCAAATACCCGTTTTTGGTGGTTATTAGACGGTTGAATAACCGTTATTTAGCCGCATTTCGACGTCAAGTGACGGTTATATATATAATAAATAATGATAATGATAAATAATA